ATGGCCGCTCCCGGCTACCGCAGCCTCGACCTGCTGGGCTCTGGCGATCCTTCTGCCTCAGCCTTCCCAGTAGCTGGAACTACAGCCGTGCGCTACCACACCCAGCTAATTTTTTTGATTTATTGTAGAGATGAGGTCTCTCCAAGCTGCCCAGGCGGGTCTTGAACCCGCGGGCTCCGGCAATCCACTCACCTTGGCCTCCCAAAGTGCTGGAATTACAGGCTAAGCCACCGAGCCCGGCCCTCTAATATACTTTTAAAATAAACTATATTTTCTATTCTAAAAAAACCCATAATAATCCTTCGAACATCAAGGCAAGAAATAATAATTCTCTGATCATCAAGGCAAAAAGACCAAGACACCTTCAAGGGGAAACAAACCAGACTGGCCCCAGATTTCTCCACAGTAGATGACCGGGGTACAATGCCAGAGAAGGCCTTGAGAAAGGAAGTGTGACTTGCTCATAGACTGAATTTCTCATCTGTAAAGGGGGAAGTTAATAGTACTTGATTTATAGCAGTATTATGAGGATTAAGTGGTGTAAGTATAGATCACATGTGACTTTAACAAGTGTTCAATAATAGCTATTATTATTTTACACAGTCAAATTTTCTTTCAAGTAAAAGGCATCAGTTGGATGTGGTGGCTCATGCCTGTCATCCCAGCACTTTGAGAGGCAGAAGTAGGAGCCCAGGAGTTTGTGACCAACCTGGGCAACATAGTGAGACCTTGTCTCTACAAAAAAGCAAAAAATTAGCTGGCTGTGGTGGCACGCACCTGTAGTCCCAGTTACTTGAGAGGCTGAGATGGAAAGCTCACCTGAACTCAGAGGTTGAGGCTGTGGTGAGCCATGATCATGCCATCACAGCCTGGCAATACTGAGACGCCGATTCAAAAATGTATTTATGGTCCGAGGTTGTGGTCTATATGATTCCTATTCCCTGGAAACCCTGAATATACCCTGCAGGAGGTTTCACTCAAGCTCCTGAGCGAGGCCTCAGAACTTCTAGCACCTTTTCATCAGTGAAGAAACATGACATTGGCCCATGACACTGTCAGCCACCTGCTACCCAGCAGATATGCCAGCCCTGTGAGCATCTACGTTTCCTAAAACCCAGAGGCCACCAGATGGAGAAAGGCATTGAGTACCCAGACTCGAGTCCAGGAACTAGACTGCTCCGTTCCTCCTTCTGGCCATGAACCCCGAAATTCCTAATTACAGAAGCTGCTGAAGGAGAAAGCAGGTCATGGTCAAGGGCTCATCCAGGAGCTCCACTACTGGTAGCTAAAGGGGAACCACTCCCAGGTGTTGACAATTAACCCAGTAAGTGGGCAGGGCTGTTGGCCTCTGTCAGGATGGCCCACATTCGTACCGTAGGCTGTAGGGAGTGTTAGTATGACGACCAGCAGGCAGGCCTGATGGGCCCGAGCCATTTGGAACAATATGCAAGCGATTGAGAGAAAGGACCCTGGAGCCAGATGCCTGGGCTGGAATCTTGCTTTGTTGTGGGCAGTTGGGAACAAGTTACTTAACAGATATGGCTGTTTCCTTGTCTTTTTTATTTTTTTATTTTTTTTGAGTTGGAGTTTCACTCTGTCGCCCAGACTGGAGTGCAGTGGCTGCT